CATTCTGAACAAAAGTAAAAAAAAAAATGACGTAGTTAGCTCATTAAAAGCATACTATGGATCAATCTAAAGTGTTAAGATATTTCAGACTTCCTATGAGACTATGCAGCAAAGTGATTTTCACAATTAAAGCCTGAGAAAAAAATACTACCTCTGGTCCTAATTATAAGACCTTTTTGTAGTACCGGAGGTAGTAAGTAGACAACACAAAATCAATTCCCAATGGTTGCTAAGTTGAAATGTCTAAAACAAAGTTAACATTGATACTTTTAAATAAATTTACTAGTGGGCCAAAAATTCAATTCAAAACAACAGAAGAAGACATATTAAACTTCAAAATGGCTAAATAGTATTGAAAAGAAATTATTGATATCTTTAGAAGTTAAGAAGATCCTTAACTAGTGAAACACAGTCAAATATTCTTACAATAGATGATAGTGATGATAGTGTTTGTCCTTTTTTTTGTGAAAACGTTTGTATGCTTTTAATGAAACTTTTGGATGTTAATGTTATTGACTTACTATGTCTAATAGATGTTTTAGATTTTTTGTATATTGAGGGCCATTTGATATGATGATTTTTTATATTTGTGACTTAATTTTATTCACATTTATGTTTTTTACAAGTAATTTCAATGATTTATTTTTATTTATTGATAAAACATATGAAAAATAAATTTTCTTTAAACGAGTTGAAAGCCCACAGGTCGGTCTTAAGCCCGTCTGCTAAGGGTCAGGCCTAGTAACTTGGGATATTTTTAAAATTTCGGCCTTATAGGATCAGCCTGACTTGTTTTCCTAGCTCTAGGTTAGAGTTAACTAACTCCTTGAGTTTACACAACTTAGGATAACTCAAGAAATGTTTTTGTAGAGTATACTTCGTATTAATTAAACCTCTGTGGTGGTTTCAAAAATAAAGAGGTTTTTCTTGTAATTTTAATTAATAACATAAAAAATGTGATTCTTGATCAAAGTCATATTGAGTTTCATAAGGTAGATATATAAACATATGTAATTTAATTTTTATGTATAATTTAGTGTGGAACAGCAATGGAGGCCGGAGATATAGAAGATCAAATTGAATTGAAAATGTTATATATTCTCTTAACAAGTGTCAGCCTATTGGAGAAGAGAAAATAAGAATAAAAGAACAACTTGACTGCTTCAATATTCTTCGCACTTGCCAAACTATATCTAAAACTCTAATTCATAAGTAAAACAAAGCTGCTAAGTTTTTCTGATTTGGAAAGTTCTCTTTATCTTACAGTGTATTTGTATTCATTTTCTGGAAGCCAATTAACTGGAAATTAAAATTAATTAAAAATTATCTCAATTAATCTGACACAATTGGTTTAAACCCTACAAAAACTGCTCCGTATCATCATCATCATCATCATCATCATCATCATTATTATTATGATTATTATTATTATTATTATTATTATTATTATTCACGTAAATATGTAGTAGGTTATATTATTCACGTTGGCAAAAAAGAAGAAGAAGAAGTTATATTCACAAATTAATAACGCACCTCATTTCTCTAATTTTATATTAGCAAGCTGCATGCTATATTGCTATTAACCGTATAATTTAATCTTATTTCATTATTCGAAGATATTCTTTTGATCTAAGATATAATTAACAAATTAAATTTGATTAAATTAAAAATATTTGTTAAATTAGTTAATATGATACTACCTCCAATCCTTAATATAAAAATTATACCTCTGGTCCTATTTATAAGGTAGAGAAATAAGATTTTTTTTGTCCTATTTATAGGGCATTGAGAAAATTTTTTTGTATAGATGTATAATTTTACTCTTTATTTATTATTGTATTCACTTTATTTATATGAGATATAATTTATATTAAATAGGAATAAAGTTGGAAAGTTTTTTAATTTTAAATGAGAGTTAATGAAGTTTAAGGTTTTTCTTAGTTTGTGTAAAACGACTTATAAATAGGACCAAAAAAATATTTGACTAATTTGAGTAGATTAGAAAAATTAGTTAAGTTAGTTATTTATAATAAATATGTATTATTTTTTTACAATACCTTTACTAATCAACTGGGTTAATTACAATTATCATTTGATAAAACATTTAACATATCAACTACTATAAGGACTACCTTGAGGAAAAAAATAGATAAATACTACTTTCGGTCCTAATTATAAGACATTGTTTCTATAAACGAGGTCTTATAATTAGGACTGAAGGTAGTATGAGAGAGAAAGTGGAGAGGGTTCTTATATTTAAGACTAAAGTAAAAATAAACTAGCTCGTATATTAAGAATAGGAGATAATATGTTTTTTCTAAAAACATTCTAAGTATCTTCCTCAATTCCCTTCCCTCCCTCGGTCCCTCCTTCTCTTTCTCTCCTACTTGATTATTGTTAAAGAAATATAAATAGGGTTAATTTGAAAAAAAAATGATAAACATATAAAATAGATATTATATATAAGATTAATATTAATTCTATTAGATCTTATATTAAGGACGGAAAAAGTAACACCTAGAGTTTTGTAAATTAATTACTTTAATTCTATCTTTCAATTATATTAATAGCCTAGGAACGCCACTCACAGACGCAACTTTTTTGAATGTAGAACAAATCAGAAAATAATAGCAGATTAATCGTTTTCATATCTGCTTTTTATATACAAATATGTATATTTATATACTATCTCCTATTTCTAATCTAAGACTTAACTAAGTAATTTTAAAAAATTAAAAAAATTACTAAATTATTTTAAATTATTTATATTTATCAATTTTATCCAAATTAATTTGTCTCACTTATAAATTAATAATTTGTTATATAATCTAATGCTTTACATAAATATTTTAGAGAAATTATATAAATAATTTAACATTTATGTAGTCTCTTCAAATTAGTTAAATGAGTCGGATTACATCCACTTGGTTATTCTGTTGAAAAGCCAAGCCAGCCTCATCCGCATGTAAAGCGTAATTAGATCCCCAGTTAAACTGTCTCACGCATTCATCGGATTACATCGCAATCAAAAAAATTTATTGAGATCTAAGTGAAATTAACATTCCACCAAATAAATTGCCCTATTATTTCTCCAGATTAAGCTATTAATTACTTTTTTCATGTCCACTCTTGTTTACTGTAGATTAAACTCTAAAGTGTATGTTTAGGCAAGGTTTATTTTAATTTCTTAATTTTGTAAGGTTTTTTTTAGTTCCCTGCTAATTTCATTTATCAACAAATGCTAACATTAAAATTTTAAAATCTTAAAGAAATATTTAAAAAAGCCAACATATTTAGTGTAACTTTTTAAAACAAAGATTGACAAAAAAAAAATCATTATTTGAGGCTTAATGATGATAGGGATAAACTAAAACTTGATATAAAATTAAAGGACCAAAACTGTATTTTTGCTTAGGTTTAAATACCTTTTTTCTCCAAGTACCCCTTAGATGTCAAGATGAAGTTTGATTTTTTTTTCTTCCAATATCTGTGGGCAGTTAAATTGGATATCTAAAAATTTCACATTGATACTTGCAAATTCATTTTTCTAATAATTTTATCTTTCAAGAATTAAAAGTAATGTTAAAAAATATAACCTCTTCCAACAACTATATATCTTATAGAGCTAAAATGGATCCACTTATAAAAGTAGAATAGGTCATCTAAAAAAATAAATTTGTCTTACAATTATTATTCATTCACAACTAAAAAATTCAAGTGGTCTGTCTGATCATCATTAAAAAGATATTAGAGCTTTTTATAAGAAATCAAATAATGTATGCTGTTGTCTTATTAAAAAAAATAACATTTAAAGATTGATTGGGTAAAGTATAATAGATCTTTTTAAAGTTTTAATGAAATTACAACAACATAATTATTGTACTTGAGACGTTTATTACATTTTGAAATATTATTTCTCCTTTTGGTTTACCGAAAAAAAATTTAAGTCATAAAAACATCTTTAAAATTATAACATTTTACTAATGACTACAATGCGTAGATCTCAAAATTTATACATATAGCAGGACCTAAACAAGAAGTAAGAAAAGAAGATGAATATTTTCTTTTTTATATAATATATTAATTTTTAAAAGCCTATTGCTGATTTTTTCCAAATATACTAATAACTTTTGGATTTTTAAAAATAACTCTAACCCTCGAATTATAATTTAAAATCTAAATAATTCAGGTCCTGTTTTGTTTTTATTTACCACCAGCAAGCTATAATATAGACTGTGAACCCTAGAATAAAAGGACCCATAGGATAGGAGAAACATTGCCCATTCAACTAAACCTGCATGTAACATATACTTTAATCAGAATTATTGATAGTTGCAATTATTAGCTACCTCATGTTTCAATCAATGAGGCACAATCAATTAGATTGACATTATATTTTAAATTAGGCATGTAGGTGGTTAGGTGGGTCTAGGTTTGACAGCACTTTTTTATATTTGCTTTTTATGAAATATAATATGTGGTATAGATGGGCATTACTGATAAGTAAAGCTTCATACTAGGTTAGATCACACAAAGAAAGAATCATAAGTAAGAAAAAATTCTTGCCTGCATTCTCAGAACACCGGGTCATGTGTGTTATGTCCAATCAAAATACAACTCACGTCATTGTGATCTAACTCAAATTCTTAAGTAATTTAAATTTTAATTAAAAAACAATAAAATAAAATCTCAGTGATTTAACTTGCATCAAGAATAATGTGAATAGGTTGCCAACAGCTGGATTCAAGTTGAGTTGTTTTCTCTTTTTTTTTCCTGATTGGATAGAGAGAAGATTACGTGGTGCTCTCAGTGCATATAAGAATTTCTTAGTAAGCAAGCAAGAGGCTTAATTATTTATAGAGGAATTAGCTTTATTGATCCAATCCTCCCCCCCCCCCCTCACCAACTGACCCAACTTGTAACTGAATGTGATAAATTTAAACTTGATGGGTACTCTAAACTGAATTACCCCCACTTCAAAAAAGAAAAGAAGAGAAGAGAAGAGAAGAGAAATTAACAATTTGTCTATCATCATCTTAGAAAAGAACCAAAAAAAAAAACTATTATGTAAAGGTAAGATGAGTAGTTTACAAAGACAAGAGTCAACGAATGAGATCATCACTATTCACTGAGAATGTTGTCTGAGGTGGGCGAGGGCCACAGCAACTTTAGCTCCAAAAGAGCATTATTCTTCACAAGTGCTATATCTTACATACCGTTAAGCTTCTCACATAATCAAATCAAATGCTTAAGTTTTGACCTAACAACTTCGAAAATCAATAATCCAAAGTGATTTGATATTTTAGTCCTTCATATAATACATTTTGCCTTGTTGTTCACCAAAATCATAGCATTTCATTTTAATCTTTCAAAGAATATTTTTTCTCCCAATTATACTACCTTTGAAAGCCCAAAATGTCCAAGGCTATCTATTTTTCAGTAGTGATTAAAGATATGGCTACTCCAACAATATTAGATGATTAATTAATTTATCAGAAAATAATTCTTCAAACTTTTATGAATTAAAAATAAGGGAGGATACTTGAGGCAAGTGAGGCCCCTCCAGTGAGTTCACTTACTCTAGCAAGCAAGAAGGGAGTCTCAGCATTTCCTGTTATGTTCTTTTCCCTGCAAGAGGAGAACCAGAAACATTGTCTTTAGGAAAACCCCTTCATTGTGTGTAAGTAATCTTTGACGATGAATATATGTTCTTCACCTTTTCCCCCCGCCCCGGGGGGGGGGGGCTGTCAGTAGCTGCAGAATGAGTGACAACCAGATTTAGTTTTTTTTTTTCCTTTTTGAAGCACGTAAAGAACTTCTCAACTGTCAAAAGAATTATGAAATCTGAACCGCCTGTGTTTAATCCAAAAGGCTCCAAGACAGAGGACTAGAGAGACGAAGAATAGAAAAGCCAGATTGATAATACACACAAAGACAGAACTAAAGACATTACTTGGGAAACTCAAATCCAAAAATTCGAAGGATAGCAAGCAACTTTTCAGAGACAATGCTAGGGACGTTTTATCATCATCGCATCTATGTGTGCATTACTTGGGAAACTCAAATCCAAAAATCTGAAGGCTTATAATATCCTACAAGAGCTACTGACGCGCTTATTTTCCTGGATAAGATCATTCTGCAGCAGCTAAGTGAAGATGACATTTGTTCTGTTTTTCATCTGTAGCCACCTATAAGTGCATGACAGATTCTAAGAGACACTTGTTAGAATTATTGGAGATTCAAGGAATGACTTGGAAGGGTCACAACTATTCTACTAGAAATATTTTTGTTCCTTTTAGGGGGTTATCATCTTGGCATCTTATAGGAGTCTCCACCACAAGAATCACTAAGCCAGACACACTTATTGTTGTTCACAAAGTGTTGTTGATCATCTTCACCTCTTTTCCCTTCTACATCTCAATTGGTCTACTGGTATGGAACCTAAGATGGCCTGTTGCAACGTTTTGGAGAAGTGGATGGACCCTTTTTCATGGTATGATAATAAGCATTATACTTGCTAAGCGACACCCAAGTGGCATCCGAAAACCTCTCAGGATTTATTTGCTTTTCTACCTTTG